GGGATGGATAATCCCTTGTGTACTTGACGAATAATCGTTTGTGTACGCATAGACCCTCCAGTAGAGGGTCTATGGTGTACGGTATTTGATAATCTTTTGTTTACGTGATGAATGTACGTGAAGGATAATCCTCTGTGTACTTAGTTGACCATTGTGTGCGTGACGGATGAACCCTTGTGTACTTGATGGTTAATCCTTTGTATACTTGACGAAAAAAAAATGTGTACGGTATTTTATAATCTTTTGTTTACGTGATGAATAAAACATTATGTACGTGAAGGATAATTCTCTGTGTATGTAGTTGATCATCTATCGTGTATGTGACGGTTAATACTTTGTGTACGTGATAGATAATCTTGTGTACTAGATGTTTCTTCCTTTAAGTACGTGATGGATAAAATATTTTACACGTTATGGAAGATTCCGTATGTACTTAGTAACAGATAACTCACCATTCCCTGTGTTCGATAATCATAACTCATATATTTGTTACGGAAAAGCTTCTATCGGTTTGATTGGCTTTCTCATGATGTCACACGATGTCAAATTACGATTATTATTATTACAGGGGTTAATCCTTGATCCCTAATACGAATCCGTACGAAGGTTAATCCATAGCGCTTATAATCTTCTCAAATAACACTTTGAAACATATTTACAATTTGTATGGTGTGTACTGATCACACACTGTATAAAAATATCAATAACATAATCACATTTCTTATTTTATCGAACAGTAAATATATATAAACACACGTTGTTGTTTTTTAATTTATATTTGAGAGGGGTTCATGGGAGAGAACATACAGCGAGAAAACATAATATTTTTTTTTCACTTAGTTTTGATCTAGATTATTTTATTCAGGGTGATTTTTTTTTATTAAAAACTATTTTATAAATATATCATGTCATATCGTCATCTTCCCGTGTGATGTTGTGTTATTGTCGTATCTGTGCTGATTCGTTTCCCAAATCTTTAGTGTTACGTCCGCTCGGATTTTCTAACTTTCAACCTCTAACAAATACTATTCGATTAAATTTAAAACTGAAACAATCAGCACACAAATGAACATTATGATCGATGAATAATTAATGCATAAATTACCATAATCAGCGACGCCTTCACCCGGCGGACACATTTGATTCTCAAGACAGACAGAGTCGTTATCAGTAGTATAATTTTGATACCAGCCGTCTTCGCAGCCACACAGGTTGTCCTCAGTTCTATTAACTGATGCAGGCACTTCGATATATTCGCGAGATTTGTTACAAGGATTCATTGCTTGGCAAGATTCATTAGAACTCCAGTCGTTGCTATAGAAACCAGATATACACAATTGGCACCGAGTTGGAGAGATATCTGAACAGTTCGTCGCTACCTCATATCCTGCGGGGAATAAAAACAAATGTGACAGTGAGGTGTAAGGCTTGCTGGATAATGGAATCAGGCACTGATCAATCAATCAACCAATCAATTAATCAATCAATAAACCAACCAAACATATGCAAGGACGTATTTAATCTATTGCATCAGGCTTCGATTCAGGTCTACGTCACATTGTACTTCACGATAATCTTGCACCAAAGCATTCTGAGACAATCAACGAGGAAACACAGGTGGTTTAATTTTATTCTTACTGTGACCTTCCATGTCACTTTTTCTAGATAATATTGAGTCATTCGCCCGCTTTTAATGGTTGCGAACCCAGCGTTAGAAGGCCGATAGAGCTCAATTTGCAAAGATATCATT